TTGTCTTTGGTTCTGTTTATATGCTGGATTACATTTATTGATTTGTGAATGTTGAACTAGCCTTGCAAGGTGGAAGCACTTTTAATTGAAGAGGGATAAACAACATATCTCATAATCCTAATCTTAGTGCATTTACTAATTACCTCCTGAGTATCTTGAAGGATTTCTTAGAAAACTATTTTCATAGTCTACATTAATCTCCGTTCTTAGGTACTGATAATAGAATCCACTGTAGCTAGTTAAACCCAAAGGGATCTTGAAAGGAATATAGATAGCTCAGAGAATTTATAGTAGGGCTGAAGAAACGAACTCTAGTCTGAACGACAAAGAGGAAGCTGCCACCTTGGCCAAAATGAAACAGCCACCAGACAAGGAAGTCACCACATGTGGGTATGCTTCAGAATCATGCAGCGTCTGCTAAGGTCCTCACCAGTAAAATAGATTCATTTCTCCCTGTCTTCCTCCTCCTCTTTACATATCCCAGTTCCCAAAGAGACTCACATGATTATATCACTTGGCAGGGTTTGAATTATATCCTCAAGTTTTTTTTTATATGGGATCCTGAGAAGTACAAGTTTAGCTTTCTAGCCTTTGCAGTAAAGGAAGGATTATTAGAGGGGGATTAAATGAGTGTTAATGAGCCAATACAAGGTTTTGGTTACATTTCCTTTTGGGACATCCACCTTGGAGAAACATAGGTAAGGTTACCTCCTCAACATGGGAAAGTGCTATGATTCCAGAATATTAATTTTATTCTCTTTCAACTGAAACTGTAGCAATCTAGATGATCCATAATACAATTATTTTTGACAGTGAAGAAATAAAGAATATTTAAACAGAATTAGTACATTGTTATTTACTAGAGTACAAAAGTAATGATAATCGGATAAGTATAACAGTATCAGTAAGATTGATAAAAGCAAATTGTGCTTTAGATCAAGTGTTCAGAAAACTTGCGACATTAGATTGCATCTGTTCTTTTTTTCCAGAATTGTACCCACTCCCTTGAATTAGTTACCTTCCTCCAGCACTCCACCAGAATTATAAAACTCCTTTCAAACATCGGTTAATCTTGTTAGTTAACTTTTTTACCCCCTGGGAGATTTCCTTCCTAGAGCCCCATTCTTCCTGACCCAATATGAACTCACTGCTCTCTAGGCCTGCTGCCTGGCTGTTGTCTTGGGACTTCCTTTCATTGTCATCCTAGGAATTCTTTCACTCTGAATTTAATATGATTTTGGTAAATGAATGTTTAAAACTTTTATTCTGTTGGTTTGGGTATTAAACAAATTATTTGGTAATTAAATAATATAATCATGTATTTTGACCTTAATTCATATGTATTTTTCTTCTGTTCAACTATGAACCTTTTTAGGGCACAAACCTGTGTTGTTGTCATTGTATGTTATATTTATAATTCTTAGCGTGATGCCTAACACATAGTGGAAAGTTATAAGGATTTTTTTTTTTTTTTTTTTTAAGGAACGCTTGGATTTTGCAATGAAAGAAATAATATTTGATCTTCTCAGTGTTGGAAAATCTACTAAAACTTTCACTATTAATCCAGAGGTAAAAAAAAATTATAATGTAATAATGTAAAATCCTATACTTTTTTTTTTTTAAGAGCATGATTTCTGGAATCAGAACTCTTAGATTCAAATCCCAACTCTACTTCTAATAGTAGCTGTGATTCAGGACAAGTTACTTAACCTTTCTAATAGCTGGCCAAATGATTTAATGATAGGTTTTTTTTTTTTGAGACAGAGTTTTGCTCTTGTCGCCCAGGCTGGAGTGCAAATAATAGTGTTTAAGTGTGGTAGAAAATAATAAAGAGGCCGGGCGTGGTGGCTCATGCCTGTAATCCCAGCACTTTGGGAGGCCGAGACAGGCGGATCACCTGAGGTCGGGAGTTCGAGACCAGCCTGATCAACAGGGAGAAACCCCGTCTCTACTAAAATACAAAATTAGCCGGGCATGGTGGTACATGCCTGTAATCCCAGCTACTAGGGAGGCTGAGGCAGGAGAATCGCTTGAAGCTGGGAGGTGGAGGTTGCAGTGAGCCAAGATTGTGCCATTGCACTCCAGCCTGGGCAACAAGAGCAAAACTCTGTCTCAAAACATAAAAATAAAAATAAAAATAAATAAAGAAAGGAAAATTTTATCAGGTTAGTCAGCTCAGCTGGCTCCTGGAAGTTATAACGTGCTTAGGTTTTTTTTGTTTGTTTGTTTGTTTTGCTTCACATTATTTGTATTTAAGGTGTTCTTCAATAAATCTCATTCATTCAACATTTATTGAGCACCTGAAATGTGCCAGGCAGTGTTCTAGGTGTTATAGAAAAAACAAAAATTCGTTCCCCCCCCCGCCAAAAAAAAGTCAACATTAAAAAAGTGATTGTTAATATCCTGCTTCCATGGTCTCATTATTCATAGTAAACTCTAATTCATTCTTTAGACGTTAGATTTTCAGGGTTTTTCAAAATATTTCATAAATTCTTTATTGGAATCTAATTACATTTGAGAATATAAAAAGGCAAAATAGGTGTTATCTGTTTTCTTTTTTCTTATTTATTTTAAATTATGATCTTGATCCTAGGTATGTATAGTCAAATCCTAAGATATGTGTTTATGTAGTTAACAATGAGTTGGAAAGATAATGCAGCTTTTCATTTGTAATATTTTTAAGATAGTTTAATAACTATTTCCAGATTTTGAAAGTGAGCAAACACAATTGTTTGTATAGCTGACATACTTAACATGTTGGGGGTACATGTATCCCAGTGGGTATAGAAGGTAGTTCACTGGAATTCGGGAAGAAAATAAAGCTTTTATTTATATATTTTTTTGGTTTCTACCAACAAAAATGGTTTCCAGCAACAAAAATTATGAAACAAAAGATATTTTCTTGAACATCCATTTTAAGAAAATATTCACTCCATTGAATAAATTTATTTCTGGAAGTAAGTTTTTTTCTTACTGAAGTTCTTATACTAGGAGTAAAAAAAAAATCAGTTCTGGGTTTTTTTTTTTTTGTGGGCGTGGTGATTGTTATTTATTAGGTTTACTTTGTTAGGATTATCTTAAATCCGTATTTTCTTTTCAAGAACTTTTGTAAGAGCTAGTTTAGTTAAACATAGATAAAATTATCCATTAGCCCATTTAATCAAATACATGCAAATTGCAAGACACTGAAAGAATGTGTAAGTGAAGCTACCTCTGTCAACTCGACTACATTGTGGAGTTTTCCTGCTTCTTTCAAGGTGTCATCTTTGACTATGTGACATGTGACTGACTTTGTGATACTTAGACCAGGGGAGGGCACCAGTACTATGTCGTATATAAAGATGAGTGAAGCTTAAAATTTTAATCTTACTTAGATAAAAAATATATATAAATAAGAGCTTTATTTTCTTCCCATATTCCATTGAGCTACCTTGCACACCCACTGGGATATGTGTACCCCACTTGAGAGACCACTGGTGTAGATCAAAGATAATGACAGCTCGGGCTTAGATCATAGTGGTGCAGATAGAGGAGCATTCACTGAGAAAAGAAACATTGAGAAGGAATCAAATCTAGGGCAAAGTCATGCATTTGGTTTGAACATGTCTAATCTGAGGCATCCAGGTAGAGGCATGCAAGTAAGAGATGTCAGATGGGTCTGAGGGTCTGAGTTCAGAGAGAGGCCAGGCTTAGAATTTGTGGGTGATCTGGTATGGGTGGTAATTGAAGTCATGTAAGTATATGCAGTTGCTTTGGGAGGTAACAAATAATGATAGGAGAAGGCAGCCTAGGAGAACCTTGCCTTGAAGCAGTCTAACATTTAATACCCAGGTAAAGGAGGCCAAACCTGAAATGCAGATAAAGATGACACAGCCAGCAGTGGAACATAGATACCAAAGGAAGGGAGTGTTTCAGGAGAGAACGGGTACTTGACCTTGTCCATGTTGCTGGAAAATCAACTAGCATGCTATAAATAGGCCCGCTGTTTTGAGCAATATGGTCACTGATGAGTGAGAATGGCTTCAGGGAAGTATTTGGGGAAAGTTTCTTCCATTAAGATAGCAAGTATACTTAAGAGAAATGGGATATACTCAGTTGAAAGGAAAATGTTGAAGATGCAAGAAAGAAAAGATGTAATTGGTGCTATAATGTTTCCAAACATGCAAGAACAGATGGGATTCCAACAACTAGGAAGACTGTCACTCCCTCACTATACCAAGAGCAAAAGGGAGGGAGAAGAGGTGCAGGTATAAGTAAATTAGTGTGATTTGTAAAGAGAGATTGAGGAAAGTTGATGATTTTTTTTTTTTCTGTGAAGTAGAAGACAATTCATTTGCCTAGAAAGGGGAGGGGACGGGACCATAAGAGGATAGGAGAGTTGAGGAAGAGGATTGCTATAAGCCTTAGAGACAGTAAGGAAGCCGGTCAGCCTCAGAAGTGTGGCATTTGGGGATTTGATATTAAAGCAAACTCTAATGCTTGGGCTGGTTAAAAATGTTGGACAGAAAGGTTAGTGTTCCTTCTATCTTCCTTCCTTCCAGCCCCCTGCACTCTGATGTTACTGATGAAATATTTCTAACATGCAAAAAGGGTAATTTATGACACTCATCTCTTCCTTTTGAATTTTTTTTCCTTTGAAGAGAATGAACATAGGCCTCAGAGTCTTCCTTGTAATAGCAGACAGTTTGCAGCAGAAAGATGGCGAACCACCCATGCCAACAACAGGAGTTATTCTTCCCTCAGGAAATACTCTTCGTGTAAAGAAAATTTTTCTCAATAAAACCTTGACAGATGAAGAAGCAAAAGTCATAGGTTAGTTTAACTGAAGTTAAATAAGTTGCTTTGTAATACAGTTTCATATTCTTTTATAAAAGTCTGATCAAATCTAAAATGTATATAAATTTGCCTAATACAGTTTTTCCAGTATATACAGCTGTACAAAATGAATACTTCTTTTATTTGTTTATTTACTTTTTTGAGATAGAGTCTCACTGTGTTGCCCTGGCCGGAGGGCATTGGCACAATCTTGGCTCACTGTAAGCTCCACCTCCCAAGTACAAGTGAGTCTCATGCCTCAGCCTTCCGAATAGCTGGGACCACAGGCGTGCACCGCCACGCCTGGCTAATTTTTGTATTTTTAGTAGAGATGAGGTTTTGCCACATTGGCCAGGCTGGTCTTGAACTTCTGACCCCAAGTGATTTCACTTGCCTCAACCTCCCAAAGTGCTGGGATTAGAGATGTGAGTCACTACATTCAGCCCACAGTGAATACGTTTTTTTGATAATAGTCATGAGTCTTCATGTTAAGAGTTTTCCAGTTAAATCTTTATTTTATCACAGGATCCTATTTACTGCATTCTGTCCTTTCTTCAACTTAATTTTAGTCCCCTGCATAATTTTCACATAATTTCTCCAATTAGTCAAATATGCTGAAGCTGATCATCAGGGAGATATGTCACAGTTGAAACCCGTTTTGTGGCAACAGTAAGCTAATATCACTTAAAGATTATTAGGCTTTTACTATAGAAAGTAAGTATTCTTTATCTAATTTCAGATATTTTATAACTGTGAAGTTTTTTCCCCTAGGAATGTCAGTTTACTATCCTCAAGTAAGAAAAGCATTAGATAGCATCCTCAGACATTTGGACAAAGAAGTTGGGAGACCAATGTGTATGACCAGTGTGCAGATGTCTAATAAGGAGCCTGAAGACATGATTACGTATGTAGTAAATTATTTGCCTTCATTGCTATTTCAGTTTTTCTAAGACAGTACGGGTGGTTCTTGGTTACCTGTCTCCTTACTTTGTCTTTGGAGTTCTTCCATGTTTCCATCTGCTGCAGTTTTCAATACAGTGATTCCTTCCATGCACTCAGTTTTATTCTTTAAAGTGCTGTCAAACTGGTATGGATAGCAAAACTCACTCTGGATCCCAGTCTGGTGTGTTGTCAATGACAAGGCCCTACACTTACTCCGTGAGCAAAATATGAATCCTAGGTACCCCGGATGTATGTGGGCGTGATTGGTTTATTACGTCAAATAAATGCTTTTACTGCCAAAGCCCTAGTTAAAAAAAAAAGAAAATCCTAAAAATCTGAACTCTGATTATTTTTGACTCCTAGGAACTAAGGGGTGATATAGAGAGGAATAGCATGAGTAGTTTTTTTTAGAAACAGTACCTCATCCCACCCCACCCCTAGGGCCTTGTCATTATTTGTCATCTCAGCATCTTTTTTTCTTGTTACGGACTTCCTCCTCAGGAAACTGTATGTTATAGCAGTAACTTATTTTATTTGCTAGAAAACATCTACATATTCTCTGTAAGGGAGGAGATTCTTTTGGATATTAATGTTTGCATTATAGGTCTTAGAATACCAAATTTGATATTTAATCTCTAAATTTATTTAATATACAATTATTATGTACTACTATATGCTAATATCTCTGAGAGTTTCTTTAATGTGAATTTTTTTGCCAATGTTACTTCCTGTGGGAAGTCTTGTTTTTCATCACAACCACTTCCCTCATTTAGTCAGTAAGTGTGCTTTCACCCAGTTCCTCTGATACCTATATAGCATATTTCTTCTGTAACTCCATTAACTTTCTCTTCTGTTTCAGTGTGCTTTAATTTAGGATCTTTGAGATAGAGAGCACCCTCTCAGTGACTAGGAGAAAAACAAGATAGCAATAAAGATTTTATTACTTACACGTGGGTGGGGGACACTGCACATGTGGAGGCCACGCTCACGGAGGTCAGGAAGCATATGTAGAGAGAGAGAAAGAGGCCCATGGGCCGATGACTTTTTTGGGTTGAGCGTGTTATCCAAACAGTTACCTAGGGGTAATTCTAATTGGTGGATTGAAAGCAAGCAGGCATGAGTTCAGGAGGTCATGCTGTGCCTGAGAGGTGGTCACTGGAGCACATCTGCATAGTCCATGTAGGGTACGCAGGTCAGTGGGGCCAGTCAAGTAGGCTGCATCTAAGTATCCATAGGGAGGTGATTACCAGGAAGAAGTTGTGTAAGACAGATACCTGAATCAACCACATTAAAGAACTGGGGGATGGAGTGGGATGTAGAACTGGAAACTGTCTCAAGGGTGACTGCACCCTTTTTCTGGTATGAGAAAATCAAACATTTAAAATGGGTGCCAAAGCAACATAAAATTATAAGAACACACTACAGAGTGATGTTACTTTTTCTTTCTTTGTGGTACTTCCTCTTTGTTAGCCAATACCCTCTTTTGATTATCTATTTTTGTAACATGTCATGTGAGTTATCCTGGGAGACCAGGAGGCAACACCATTGCACACTTTGCTGTCTGTGTATGAACTGAATAACAGATGCACCTTGACCAATCACCGACAGCCTTGATGGAAATGACAGTGATTATGATGTGCAGTGTACTTTATGGACCAAAGAGCCAAAGCAAAGTTGATTTATGCCATTACTTAACATATGGTAGCTTAAATTTCAACTGCCTTTTTGGGGACTGGTATTATTTACCTAAAGTATGGTAACTGAAATTCTTGCATTTTGAAACCATGTAAAAAGAGGACTGGCCATATGAAATCTCTGAAAGGATTAGTGAGTCCATTGCCACTATAACAAATACCCAAGGCTGCGTGTGGTGACTCATGCCTGTAATCCCAGTAATTTGGGAGGCTGAGGCAGATGTATCACCTGAGGTCAGGAGTTCAAAACCAGCCTGACCAACATGGTGAAACCCCATCTCTACTAAAAATACAAAAAATTAGCTGGGCGTGGTGGCAGGTGCCTGTAATCCCGGCTACTCGGGAGGCTGAGGCAGGAGAATCGCCTGAACCCGGGAGGCGGAGGTTACAGTGAGCTGAGATCACACCATTGTTGCACTCCAGTCTGGGCAACAAGAGCAAAACTCCATCTCAAAAAATAAAATAAAAATAAAATAAAATAAAATAAAACCCGGAACACTGAGAATATCCAAATTCTTTTCTACATAAGGATTATTTTATTAGGCCAACTGAAGAACAATTTAGATGAAAGGAATTTAAAAGGCCTCACCTTCAAATACAGACCAAAATAAAAACCAGTATATTAAGAGATTAGACATTTAAAATAAATAAAACTATTGAATAACTAGAAGAAAATATAGTAAAATTAAATTGTATTAAGCCTCTAGAGGTACCAGGATTTTCAAAAACCTGGCTTATTTTATTTTATAGAAATTTTAAGTATGTGTATTTATGTGTATATATCACATGCAAGACAAGGACAAACAATATAAACACCTATATATGAGATGAATGTTTCTAAGACCTTTGTTGGTGGAGGATATTAAGTGAAAAACGATGTGGCTAATTTTGTAGGCCCCCCAAAATAACCAGTATTTAGTTACTTAATGATATCAATGTTATTATTTATTATTTTAATATTTATGGGAGGCTAAATATTAAATAATCATCTTAAATATTAAGACTAATTATAAATAATCTGTTTATTTGTTATGTAATAATGGTTGTAATGCTTCTTGTCTAGTTACTGAAAACCTTTTTGTTTGCTGGCTTTCTTTTGAATTATTTCTGTATTCTTTTGTCCATATATAGACTAATAATTATCTACAGGATTTATATGTATTTTTTTAATATTAAATACATTAACCTTTGGGGGAGGGCTCCCACTTTCTGTAGCTATTTTTCCAAGTTTGATTTCATTGTCTAGCATATGTATTATGTTTCTTATTAAATCCTATTGTGTTTTTCAGGGGGGAAAGAAAACCCAAGATTGATTTGTTTAGAACTTGTATTGCTGCGATTCCAAGGTTGATTCCTGACGGTATGAGCAGAACTGACCTCATTGAATTGTTAGCAAGGTAAATGAGGATCACTGTTTGCTATGTTAAGTTTTATGTCTTCTGCTCCTTTATATTTCTAATATACCTTTGTTACTGTTATCACTAAAAAGGCGATGATAAAGACATTTCTAATCCTTTATCTGATTTACTTTCTAAATTTCTATTTTGTCTTTTTTTGTTGTTATTAAACACATTTTCCTCACTAATTTTTAACTTCTCAAGTTCTTCTAGATTCCCCCCACAAATCCTATCTTTCAGTTCCCTATTTTTCCATCTAGTATTCTTTCCTGGGATTTCTGTAACACATTATCCCTTAACATATGGGCATTATCAGTGTATGGTAATTCCCAGTTAGGCAATTAATTATTGTGTTTACTCTTACAGTCATTTCTTTAGTATCTCTGGTGGTAATTAGGTCTCATTTGTGCTTTTTTTCCCCCCATGGCAGAACTGTGGCATTCAAGTTTCTCTCTCTCTTCTATTAGGCATGTCATAGCCCTGTAAAATGAGTACATAACCTGACAACCAAACTTAAATACTAGCTCCTGATTCTAAGTTGAGGCGATAGCCTGTTGAAAACCTGCTTTGCTGATGTAGTTAGGGATTCCCTACATAAGAGATCAGCACATTTTTCTGTAAAGTACCAGATAGTATTTTAGGGTTTTGCAGATCATTATGATCTTTGCAATGGGTCCAATTATACAGTTTGATAGAAGTAAGACCTAGTGTTCAGTAGATCAGTACAGTGACTGTAGTTTACAATAATCTGTTGTACATTTCAAAATAACTAGAAAAGAGTAAAGGTTTCTAACATAAAGAGAAGACAAGTATTTATGGTGATAGATATCCTCGTTACACTTATTTGATGTTTACAAATTATATGAATGCATTAAATTATCACATCTACCACAAAAGCATGAACAACTATTGGGTATCAGTAAAACAAGCAAACACATACTCATCTCTGCCATTATAGTACAGAAGCAGCCATAGACAATAGAGTGTGCATGACTGAATTCCAATAAGCATCTGGCTGGATTTAGCCCTTGAGCCACAGTTTGCCAGCCCCTGTCCTAGATGGACAAAACAAATACAATGACTATAGCAGAGCCGCGATACTTGACTATGTTGAAAGGTGTTTACTTGTTGTTGGGCATTTATCACTTTGGTGTAAGTTAAATTCATAATAAATAAGCAATTAATAGACTGTTCCAGCAATCCTTTCTCCACTTCCGAAGCTTTTCACACACCCTGGCACTACCTTATCCTCAACTATTACCTGTTGTGATCAGAGATTTTATGTCTCCTGTGATGATTGTGAAAGAAATGGGTTACTTTGCATTATATAAATTTGTTCCCTTCCCACAGTCTCCTAATTTTTTTGTGAATTAGATTGCAGAGTTACAGAGTTCATGCCAGCATTGGAAATAAGAAACATTAATTATGTATAGCACTATTCCTTGAGAGAGCAGTAAACAACTACTGTTCAGTTCTGCTCTTACTCCTCCTATTTCAACATAACTCATCTACATCTTAGTGGGTGTTGATCCACAAGAGTAGATCTCCCATCTTTTCCACGAGAATGAAACTGCAACTATGAGGGCCAGGGATGGGACAGCTTAGTAAAAGAGCAGACAGCTGAACAGTGAATGACAATTTGCTTTGCTGTTCACTTTGCTTCTTTCTCCTATGATATTTGTTTACTAATAGTTTACCTCAGTGGAAAGGAAGATCCCAGGGTCTGTTCTGTTCTCTCCTTTCTTCATATCATTTGGAATAGTGCTGTCTAAATCTTACTTACTTTACCATAAAGGAAGCAAGCAAACGAAACAAAGATGCTTTGTAAATTTGCAGACCTGTATCCTGTCCCTAAGGAAAGTTAATTAATTCCCCTGCCTTTAATTAACCAAGCTTTATTGTTATTCTGCTCTGTACAATGAGCAGTTAAGTCACACATGTATACCCTGTATCACACAGATAGGAGTTTAAGATAGATATTTACATATTCATGGATTTAAGGAATGTTGAAATAACCTTTAAAGTCGGCATCATTGAGGACTGTCACTCTCTTCTCCCATATTGTATCTCCTGATGTCACTATTGGAGACAGAATACTGGGCTAGAGATGCTTAATTTGACCCTGTTTATTTCTCAAGTGCTGATGGAACTGCTGCTGTTTTGTTGCTTACTCCTCAGTCTGTCTAGCTATAATACATCTCGTTAGTCTCATTGTCAGTTGAAAGTTGGCTTAGTGATGACTAGAACTAAGTTCAGCAGGGTGAATACTTATATCTCCTTTCTCCTAAACTGCACAACTTTCCACCTCTGTCTTGGATAACTCCATTTTTCCAGCTTCCCAAGCATGTAATTGTATGTTTAATATTATGTACTTACCTTATTCATTCAGACTATTTCTAATTCTGATACATCTGTCTTTGTAGTCAATTACTAACATAATTCTCTTCAGATCCAAATCAGAAACTCTTTATTCATATAATATTATTATATAATGGTGGCTCCCACTACTGTAGCCATTTTTTTTTTTAATTTCTTATTTATCATTCTCTTTTATGTTCTGGTAAACTTCTGTAACTAAAATTATATTCAAAGCCCCATTTTGATGTATTTAAAAGCAAATTGTATATAGCGTCTCCTAATTTGTTTAAACTCTCTTTAGGACTTTATGTGCTGAGTTAACCCTTTTTTTTTTCCTTTTTTTTGAGATAGTGCCCTGCTCTGTTGCCCAGGCTGGAGTGCAGTGGTGCAATCATGGCTCACGGCAACCTCTGCCTTCCGGGTTCAAGTGATCCATCCGCCCCGACCTCCCATAGTACTGGGATTATAGGTGTGAGTCACTGAGCCCAGCCTTATTTTTTTTTCTAGGCATGTACCATTTATGATATTACTCCTAAATTTACTCTCATTCTTACCTTCAATAATTATTCTATTACATTGATTCCATCTTCATTTGCTGTATATTCTTCTTCACAATCAGCCATCTTATATTTAACTGTAACTTCAGTGCATATAAAGAATGATTGAGCAGTGGCACATGCCTGTAATCCCAGCACTCTGGGAGGCTGAGGCGGACAGATCATGAGGTCAGGAGATCCAGACCATCCTGGCTAACACAGTGAAACTCCATCTCTACTAAAAATACAAAAAATTAGCTGGGTGTGGTGGCGGGCACCTGTATTCCCAGCTACTTGGGAGGCTGAGGCAGGAAAATGACGTGAACCCAGGAGACAGCCCTTGCAGTGAGCTGAGATCATGCCACTGCACTCCAGCCTGGGTGGCAGAACGAGACTCCGTCTCAAAAAAAAAAAAATGATTTGAGATAAATCGTGTCCTTACCAGTGATAGCAAAGATTAAATAAATGTGAAGATAGTGCTAAGATATCATATGATTAGATACAATTTTTGATTGATTATAGGATAACCATACAGTATTTTAAGGATTAAAGGATTTTAAATGGAATTCTAATGTCATTTGTATCAAACTTACTCAGATTATAGTGAAAACACCAATAATAGGAATAGATTCATATGTGAATTTAAACAAATGAGATTATAAGCTAGCATAAAGTTAAATATAGCATGAAAAAGTGAACATTGGTTGTTATCTTCATATTTCTTACAAAACAACTAGAGGACATGTATTTTAATGTCATAGTTTTAAGTTTTAGATGATAAAACTAATTGAAAGGTATTGAAGTTTGCTAATGGAATTTTGTTCTTGGTAGGCTCACAATTCATATGGATGAAGAACTGCGTGCTCTGGCTTTCAATACTCTGCAGGCACTAATGCTTGATTTTCCAGATTGGCGGGAGGATGTTCTTTCAGGATTTGTTTATTTTATTGTTCGTGAAGTGACTGATGTCCATCCCACGCTTCTTGATAATGCCGTAAAGATGTTGGTACAATTAATAAATCAGTGGAAACAAGCAGCCCAAATGCATAATAAAAACCAGGACACTCAGGTACCAGATTCTTTTCTATTGTCCCTTTGTATGTGGTCAGTGCTAAATGACCAATAATGATTTTAATACAGATTTACTTTATCAAACACTAACAGTATTACTAGTTCTATTCACTCTCAATGTGTTCCTAATCCCTTAAACTGAACATTCCCATAGTTCATGTAGTAAATATATAGTGTTTATGCATCTAACTTTTCTAATCTTCTTCTTTGGGTAACAATTAGTTTTTAATGAGCATGGAAATTAGAGATAATTCCAGCTCACTTTTAGGTTGTTTCCAGTATATTTAAAGCCAATACAATAAATTTTTGGTAGTCTTCCATTTGGGTCATTTCATTGTTTTATCCATGTCACCAGTCCCTGTTTCACGTAAGACGGTAACTGTGCTCCTTAACCATAAAAGATACTCAAATCATTGATTTATGATAACGTATAAATCATAGAACCTTGGAATTTTAGACCCAAGCCATTGAAGTTAAACTAGCTTCTCAACCTTTAATGAGCATACAAATCAGCAGGGCCCTAAGAAAGAGTTTCCTTTTTTTTTTTTTTTTTTT